GAAATGGTACTTTTATTTCAATTTTGTTTTCTATGTGAACATAATGAATGATTTCACTCATTTAATTTATGTATGACATGTTGGGTGTACTGCAAAAGATACTAAAATACGCCCCATTTTTAATATCAGTCAAAACCTTTTCCTTAACAATTTCATCCAGAAGTTGGTCCAGCAGTGGCTGAGCAGTAAAGTCACTGAATGATGGTAATTTGGTCTACAGTTCGAATCCCAGCAAACAAGTTGCCTACATGGGCATTTTCATCGTTTTCCCCATGGGTACGTATGTGTATGCAAGCCTGTTTCACTTAAAAAGCCCTTCACGAAGGCATCGCTCCCCTTAGGCAAATAGCCCTTGAGTGATTAACAGAAATAAACCAATATAAACAAATAAACCAACCAACCACCCAGAAGCCAAATAAACTCCTCTTGTGAGGTGGGTGACAAACAGCTAAACAGCTTGTTAATATCTCACTCGACAATGACTAAGTTGACTGTTTTAATTTGATTACGTGCTCTCTTAATATAGGATCATAGAAGTTCAATTAGCAGGAGAAAATTTCCTTTGTTTTCCATCAACATCTCTGCCTGCAGAATGGAAGATTTTGTTTAGCCAAAATGATAATGCAGTTTGTGAGTCTTTTTGAAAGATGTTTCCATTTCTTTTTCCTCTTTTAGAAGCTGTACACTAACTGGATCAGTTGTTCTATTAGCAACAGATTTGCTCTTAAAGTTTTCAAGTTTTCAAAACAAGCTTTATTTTATTCTGAAGTTTTACAGTTGTAAACTTTTGGATTGTTTCTACCACACTTGAAAATCAGTTACAAATTTAGATGTATTACTCAGACTTGCATCTGTGCCAAACAGCCTAGAACAAAAACAATACAAGCTTTGATTTTTAATTCAGTATGCCATCAAGGTTCTCAGAATTTCCTCTCCATTTGGCTGACAGATATAAAACTCATCAGATGTCAACTGTCGGTTAGGATCATTTGTCTTAATCTCACCCCCTTGTCTCTAAAGTGAAATAAATGGTCCATATTTGTTTTGAAATGCTTTACTTCCTCTTTTAATTTAGACAACTCTTAGACAATTATCTGGAATGTAGAAAGGCCAGTCAGAGATGTCAGAAAACAAAATATTACTGTTTTTCTTTATCTGCTTGTCTCTCTTCTTCTTCCTCGTTATCTGATGTTTGTCTTCTAATTTATTTCCTTCTTCATTATGATTATTTCTAAAGTTATTTATTTGGTTTGAGTTTATTTTGTTTTCTTTGTGAATGTTCTTTCTAATTTGTTCTTCACTTTCATGACTTCTCAATGGCTTCTTCCACACTTGATGTCAAAGGTTTAACATATTTTAGCAACGAACAGGCTTTTGAAACCTTCTTTATGACTTTTTTTTTCTCCTCCACTTACATGCTGTTGCTTCATGGCCCTGTTTCTATTTTATGGAACATTTTGTAAAAACCACTTTTTTAACCATGTAATATTAATGAGTATAATAATAATAATGGGTTTATTTTATTTTTAGAAACTGAAAGCTCTAATAAAATCAATAACAGAGAAGGAAAATCAATATCAGAGAAGGAAAAGCAAAGAATAATTTGATAAACTCAGAAAAGTACTGCATTACAATACAAAAAATCTTCATTTTCTCACTGATGGATATTCTTCCCCCTTATTCTTAGCGTAAATCTGATTAATTTTTAAATAATAAATTGCAATATGATAAAATATTGCTCATCATTGTATAGTTGGCATAGAAACGTTTTAGGCAGTATGATGGGGAGATAATGTCCATTCGCTCGTAGAATGATCCTAAAATAAACAAACACAAATATATCTGCACTGCTCTTAAGTAGACATGAATAACATGCTAGATTCGAATAGACATACTTGTTTACTTTATGGTCAGTTCGATGAGCGAACGGGTGATATCACCCCATCTCACTGTCTAAAACATATCTGCTCTGACTATATTATTATGATGTTTGGATTAAAAATATCATCTTTTTGCATAAACGGTGTGGTGTGTATTTAATTATGGCAAAGCACACGAGGGCTATCTGCCTAAGGGGAGGGATGCCTTCGTGGAGGACTTTCTAAGGGAAACTGGCTCGTATACACGTTACACATGGGGAAAACCACGAAAACACCAATGCAGCCAGCCCGTTCGTGGGATTCGAACCTCAGACCGAACTACCAGTGTTCAGCGACTTTACCGCTCGGCCGCAGGTGGGCCCCTTTTTGCATAAACGACTTGGGGATAATGATGTTTGTGGCAGAGATAAGATGATAACTCACTAGAACTGGTTGTTTACATCAGCACTAGCATAGTTGAAAGTAATGAAACAGAACTCCCCCCCAAGCATCGTACAATAATACTAAATCATTACAGCATCACATCGTTATCCCACATTTTGCTGCAATTAGTGACTGCAAAAGCCTATGTAAATTATTTGACATGATATTTCATGTAACAAAAAGGCATGTTAATACAAAAGCAGCAATATTTGTCACCTTCCTGTCCCACTGCTTCTATGGTATTTTTTTTATTATAACAAATGTCACAAATACTCAGAGTTAAGTATAAGAATTTACTAAAAAGTGCAATTAACATCCTTCAAATAAATATAATTTTCTTTTGAGAAAATATTATACCTTAGCAGCAAAACAAAGAATAAAAATGCTCAAGCTTCTCATATATTATATACATATGCACATAATATGCTCAAGCTTTTATTATATTAATATTCTGCTGCAGATACCGTTATTATTGTATAAAATATCAGCAAACAAAAGTTAGATCAGTATGGATAAACATACAGACATTATAAATAGTGATCATATTTTTTCAGGAATGCCTTCTGTATATGCTTAAGAAGTACACCCTTAGAAAATGAAGCATATTCTTATGGAAACTTGATAATTTTTCAGATATATTGCCGGGAAAGAGGCAGGCACGTTTTTTTTTTTTAAATTTAGTTTATATAAAAGTATTTAGGGTATACAGACAAATTTATTTTCAGGCTTACAAAACACTCTGAAATAGTACAGCTGATGACTGTAAACTAGAACATACAGTTACATACTAGTACATACAATTAATAAACAACAGGTTTAGCGAACAGGAACCTGCATCACTCTTATCTAGCAAAATGACAATGTCAACTATTACCTTAAAATGTTTACTAAGTTACATATCAGAGGTTCAAAATCACAGTTATGTGATTGTATGTATAAGATAAAGTTTTCATTTGTTCACTCAATCATCTCTCTCAGTAGCAGCCCTATACTTGTGTAAGAATAAAAATTAGAAAAGATTAAACATGAGCTAGATAAAAATTAAAAAGTTAAATATATAGTCTTTTTAGCTTTATGAGAAAAATATCAGCATTATTCATTAACATTAATTAGAAACTATATACCTGTATATTTTTATTACTGTTAAAATGAGTATGACTAATTTTTTTCAAGAATCAGCTTTCCTTACATTGATATAAACACAAAATCTTCTTTTATTGTAAACAAGCAAAATTGCTGAAATGCTGTTAACATCTTTGTGTTACTATGCTACCAAATATATATCCAGTGAGAAATATAAAAGTTCTCGCACTAGAAAGATGCATTGAAGTTTGGCATTTGAAATGTTTTAGTTTTGCACGTTTCAAAAATAAAAATTTGATGTTCAACAAAAATGGTGAATTTCTTTTAAAATATCACTACGATACAAATACATGTAACATTAAAATGCTAAAATATAAATATATAATAATTCAGATAATTTAGACTCTAATTAATATGGTTATGTACAAATGTTCACCTGAATGTGATGTAGTTAAACTGCATTTGAATGAGCAAAAATAAATATAATATAATATCACATAAAACATGACAATACAATATACTGAGGTATTTTAAATATGTTCTCCAGAGTTATAAAATTTCAAAATAACATGCAGACTAAGAGGTAAATGTAATAATAAATAGTAATACTTGACTATTGAATCCCTACACAGTCCACACAGCCAAGAGTTTGGACATGGTTGATTGGGATGCTAAACTACTGCACCTTTGTTGATTAACTTCTATCCCTCATGCTGAATATATCTCATGCTATATTATTATCTGATGCATAAATAATTTAACAAATAATTCTGCTATTAAACACAGTTGTAGTCCAAAACGTTTTCACCCAATGGCAGGTTCTAGTCATATATAGGTGTTGGCCACTTCTAAGGCCAGAAGAGAGTGGTCACTTTATTAGGGGAGGCATCTAATAAGTGGGCCACAGTTGCCTCCTATGAAGAGATGGACAGATTAAATCCATACCTTCTCCAGGATTCAAACCTGCACCCTTCGGTATAGCTGTCAGAGTCCCTAACCACTTTCCCGTATGGGCGGCTGTAGTCTAAAACTTGTTTAATGCAAAACCAAATATTTTTTTAACAGACAGAAAAGCAGGAGAGCTTTTAGTTTTACTCCTAAAGCAAACTTACATTGTAACTTGCAAATGGAGTAGTTTTGCTTATATATTCCCCTCCATAACTTGTAGAGATATCTATTAACAGAAATACCTCACAGGGAAAAGTCTATGCCTTGATCACAATGAACACTTTGCAGATTCAACTTGTTCATGAAATGTGAAGCATTAGTAGCTTAAGATGTTTTTACAAACGTTTGACAGGCAAAAATTTAACAAAGTTTACTTGATTCACACTAAATTTAATACAAATTAAATTTTTAAGTTACTCAAGCACCAAAATATAAGTTTAAATTAATGTTAATTAAAGATGCATTTCATGACACCTGATCAACTGAATTAGTCAGATTTCTGAGAAAGGCTATATAAAATATCAGTAGTCAATGGAATCTAATTCAAATTGTAATAACTGAAAAAACACTTCAAAAACTTATAATTCCCCCCCCCCATAATGAAGAAAAATTTTTAAATGCAGATGAATATACAGGATGACTGTGATCATTAAAAATGAAAATTACCTGAACAAATAAATCTTTAGGGAGAGGTTTAGAACTGTTTACATATTCAACAACACTATCACTTCCTGAATAATCTATCATTATTCCATGATATAGCAATGTCTTGCGGAACATACTGATCATAAAGTCTCCATTCAAAATGTATTTTTCGTCTGGATCTTTCAAAGCTAAATAAGATAATCAGAAAAATTCATTCATTCCAAAATGTCAGCATATGAAAAGTTTTCAAACAGTATGAAATAAACAAACCTTCATAAAGAGAATGCATTATCAAATACATAATAAGTTCCAAAAAAGTACTTACAATCCATTTGTTACCAAACATTTTGATATTTTAAAAAAATAGTTCAATAAACTTCTTACCTGGATTTGATTTTAACAAATGGCCAATGTAAAGAGCATTCTTAGACTACAAAATTTAAAAGAGATACTTACTTTTTTTTTAGAAGAGCCAGAAAAGTGCACAGCACGACTGTCAAGATTAATATATTTAATATCAAAATATTTTTTAGAATATGCTTTTACTTAAGATATGAAATGTTAGTGTAATAAAAAAATTAAAGAAAATAATAAAATGTAGCACTACTTTTATCAACTAGTTTAAATGCTGACTTTATGTTCTACAAAATAATAATAATAATAAAAAAGAAGTTATTCCAGTTAACATTTCAGTTTAACAGCATTTACAGTAAATTAATCAAGTAACTTTTGAAAATAACATTCATAGTGAAATATTTAATAAATCAGCATAAAATCACATGTCATTACCTAGAGTTAAGAAATATATTAGTCATAAGCTTTATTGCTAAAAATAATTGCTTTAAAAATAAATTAGCCATATGCTTTATTGCTGAAAATAGTTCCTTTAGAAAAATTAGTCATAAGTTCTAAATATAGATCAAAATAAATTATATAAATAATATTCACATTCCATTTTTAAAATGTAAACTATAAGTTTTCACATCATGTACTGCAATATATTGAAATAAAAAGTTATTCCAATAAACATGTGAATTTACTGGCATCTATAGTTAGTTAATGAAATTGGAAACAATATTCATAGTAAAATGAGTAAGTTAATGAAATTGGAAACAATATTCATAGTAAAAAATGTGCAATAAATGAACATAAAATCAAATAACATCTACTATAGTTAAATATCAGTCAGTCACAAGTTTGATAAACAAATCACACAAATAATTTGCACATCACATTTTTAAAATGTGGAGTATTTATGTTTTTATTTAAGTTTGAAATGGCAATATTTTGTCATACATTTTCACAAAAATAGAACAGAATTTAATTCATTCAAATCATGTGGATTCTAGATAAAAAAACTGACGATAGGCTCTCTCTTTTAGTTTAAAAACTGCTGGTGTTTAATGTGTAAGATTACTAATGGAAGTGTAAACATGTTACAGAACAAATAGTTTATTACATTTATTCATTCAAAATCACCACCATGTACAATTGGTTGATGATACGAGAAATATGATACTAATTTAAGATTTCGGCAGTTATATTCTTAGTAAATATTAAATCTGTAAACCAATTGCCAAGTGTACTTGGACAGTTAATTGGCACTATACTGAGATTAAAATAATGTTGCATAAAATCAAATGCCTTTTCATTTCGTTTGACATCTACATTGAAATCTAATATCATAATAATAGGAACATCTGTATCTATAATAAACTCAGCAACAATAAGGCAGTCTCAAACTATCTCAGCAATGCACTAAACAAGAACATCTTCAAATTGCCTGAGTTAACAATTGGATGAATACATATGGATGCTAGACTAAGTCTTGACTGCTCATTAACAATTACCCTACAAATATCATCTATTTCTGAATCCTGTAATCTCATATACTGCTTAACAGTAAATTCTGTTGGTACACAGTCTGCTACAGTCATCAAATTTCTATAAATCACAACATCACTAGCTTGGCAAAATAAAATAAAATACAGCAAATACCATTTGAATGCACTGACTGTTTACATGCGACCATTTACCAGATGATCTTGCCACTAACATGCAGTTGCGCATACACATGGAGCTTTGACTTCACCAAAATTTCATTATTTTTTATGCATTATTATGCGTATACCCTTTATCCAATTAAATATTTTTTTCTTGTGCTTGCTAATTTGCTTTTTCATCTATCTAATGATGTATTTAGATTGATTGTATCATCTGTAGTTTTGAAGATATAAGCATTCGTGCACATCTCAAAAAGCATCTTAACTTTTTGCTTTCCCATCAGACAATTGTGGAGGAATGTAATCCTACATTAAAACACTAAGTCTTGTGCACAGCACTAAAGTCATTATGCACAACAATATTATTTATTCAATATAGACTTTTACCCATGCAAACATCATATTTATAATAGTGAACATGCCCGAAATTTAACCGTATGACTGCTACTTGGTGTAAAAGCGTTGTGTTCATTTGTCTTGAAAACCGCGACGCAGTTAGTTATTTTAGAATGCACTTGTCTTACAAAGTACACGTGAGGTCAGACTACGTTCACACCCACGAAATAACAAAGACACACTGAAACTCGCAGTGCAAAAGCGCTGCGTCGTGGTTTTCGAGACAAATGAACGCAGCACTTTTGCGCCGCGTAGCAGTCAAATGGTTAAGAAAAATAAATTATATCTCATTTGTATCCTCCCCCATCCTTTTTTTGGGCAGGCCACATATTTTAAATTCAAAGACAATTTCCTGCTACATCAAAAATATTTATCACTGTGTAATGACAGAAGTTCTAAAATGTTTGAAATAATTTAGGCATGTATAAAGCAATTATTTTTCAAAACTGTTATAATAATTAGAAAAAAAAAAAAAAACACTGACAATAATGAGTGGAAAAAATCTGAAAGCCTTCAGAATTTATATTATGTCTAACAGGGTGCTTATTTTAATGTACACACAAACATGCACGTTTCGAGAGCATTTGGACTAAAAATATTAAAAAACAACATTCTTTTCCAATAGACAGTCTCACATACTGGAGATAAAAATGTTTTATTCCATACAGTATTGCTACCACTTGCTATGAAATAAATGAATTTTTTAATCAAAAATTCGTTACAGTTTTACAAAATATGAAATAAATAATAAAACAAATTCTAAATTCAAACTTTGGCCTTCGAAATGCCCATATTCGGGTGAAGGACTACATTATTCACAATTTGATGGCTCTAGGTATTGTTGTTTTTTCACAATGTGAGAAACACACATACATTCATGCAGATTCTTGATTAATTAGTTTCTTTAAATTTAACACAGTGCGATAATATTTAGCAGCAAGTATTTGAAAAATGATTTAATGTTTTTAGTGATTTGACAAAAAATGCCGTTTCGGGACTAAGAACTCTTATGGGCTAACTACCCTTTGGGCTAAAAACTAAAATCAAATTCAGATTTTAAAAAAAATTTTAGAATACTATAATGGGAAATTGAAATATGCCATCAATATTTATTGTTTCTAGGGATGCATGTACACAGTTTTAATAAAAATGAGTAGTGCATTTTACTAAGTATCAACTTTTTTAAATAAAATACAAAAAGATTTCAAAGTAACTTCAAAATTTTTGAACAAATGACTCAAATTTACTGCAATTTACTTCAGATAGGAAGATTTTAAATTGTATTTGTATGAAGTATCTTAAAATGAGAAAGCTGAAATTAAACAATACTTAGGAAAGAGACAGAAAACTTTTCAGTAGGATTGTGTCTAAGGAATAATGTGAAGTCAAAGAAAATTTTCTAGTATTGTTGATATAAGAAACAAACTGAAAGAAAATATAAATATTTTTACTGTATAAATTTTCCAATGCTGATATATACTGTTTCCATCACTTAAAACAGAAAATATATTAATTTTATTCGTCAACTTCACATGTTTCCTATTTTGTCTAAGTCATAGTTGAAGCAGTAAAATTCTTTCTATTTTTGACTTCCTTGTACAAAGTAAAGCAAATACTGTATTCGCAAAGTTTCAGGTATCATATTTCAACGAAAATATCCGTTTTGACCCTCTAAAATCCATTTAAAGGATATTTTTGCATGACATTTGTATTTACAGACAGAATAAAAACTTCTTTTTCCTAAAACAAATTGTAAAATGGATTCGGGAGATATTTTTTTCATGACGTCTATCCATATGTACGTATCTCGCATAACTAAAAAATGAGTAGCCTTAGAACATTGAAATTTTGCATATGGGACTGCTGTAACATGCAGATGTGCACATCCTTTTTTGGTTTATATATACAGTCAAAAGTCTTTAATCCGGATGTCCATAATCCGGAGCTCAAAGCTATAAACTTTCTGCGCATGTGTAAACGCATAATGTGTTTACGCATGCACATAATACCTTTACGCATGCGCATAATATGTTTACGCATGCGCGTTTAATGTATAACGGATGGTATAAGCTAAGCTAAAATTATCTAAATATCTATTTCAGTTAATGTTGCAGATTGCACTGTTCCTTAATCTTCTAATTGGATCCGGCTTATTATTTTTTGCAGACTGTTAGATCAATTTTATAAAAGAAAGCTTGAACTTTCGATTATGTCAAAAAGAATTTCCGATTCTGGAGCTGCCAAAGGATCTACAAAGCGAAAGCATGTTTCGATGTTCATCAAACGAAAAGTTGAATTGCTGCAAAAAATAGATAAAGGCATATCCTTTGTTTCTCTAACCATTCCTAAATCTGTTTATCAATTTCACGCAGCTCTGTGGGGGGGGGACGTCGCAGCGCGCAATGAACTGGAAGTTGATCTGTCAGCACTATGCTTATCTTCAGGGCAGATGTTTTTATTTTATTTGGCTTATAATTCCTTACTAAATGTAGTATTTCATCTCAATGTACTCCATCTTTTATATGATTTAAATCAAATTCCTCGTCATTATAAATATCACGAAAACACATCAAATAGTTTTCCGGTTGCAATTTTCTAATTTCGACAATGTGTAACATATGTTTTTTTTTTTTTTTTTTTTTTGTAAATTTTGATACCCTTTAGATCATAATTGCTCTTTATTTTATAAATTACGGTTTCATATTTTAAATTTTTATAATTTCTGCATGCCATCTTACCAGATTTAAATTGATGATCTATAATCCGGAAAAACCGATAATCTGGAATTGCCAAAGTCCCGACGAGTCCGGATTAAAGACTTTTGACTGTATATATCTACTTATGCTCTGTGAGCTACTATTACTGGCTCAGTGAGCTCAGTTTTTTTATCTGTATATGTGGGCAAAGTGTGCAATTTTTGCTTTAAAAGTGAATGAATGACATGTTGTTATGCTCCCATTAAGGTTTTTATTCCTTTTTGAAAATCTTAGAATAATGAATTAAGTCAGTTTGTGCACCAATTTCAGTGTCTTTTTGACAAATGGCACCTTGTAAACTTTGAATTTAAAGCACTGAAAAATCTGTCTTTTTGCCCGCTGACCGAATCACTTGTTTTTGCATACAAACTCTAATTTTAATTGTAAAAGCTGTTTTTAACTGTATATGGTGTTTTAGATTTTTCTGTATTTTACAATTTTTAATGATGGTGCTTTGAGTTTTTATGCGCTTTTGTCTTCCTGCGAAATAAGGACTGAATTAATAAAATGAGAAATATATCTCTAATGAAATTCGAGGAAATAACTTTGAATGAAATGAGGGAAAAACGAGTAGAATTTAATTGGCCATACAAGGAAGTCATGTACTGTCCACATCAGTTAATTTTAGTAATGAAAACTTGAGCAAAAAAATAGGAATAATTCCATAAATTTAGAAAGCACATATTTAAGTATTTTAAGAAGACTGCAAAATGTCTCAAAGGACACAGTACACTACATCAGATCCTATGGCTGTATAAATTTGCAGCACTAGGCTGTCTTCTATGCAGGTCCTTCTACAACTCTTTAAAATAATTCACTGTTATCTTAAATGTAAGGATCTTGCATTTGGGCTAACTGTAAATTATATTACATATATGTAAATTGTATATATATATAACACAGTATAATTTACAGTTGTGTGTGGTGTGTATAATTCACAGTACAGCTGTGCATGTGTATTTGTGTGTGTGTGTGTATATATATATATATACACACACACACACAGAAGTATGCCAATTCATGTAAGCATGAAAGCAGATTTGGAGCTACACAAGCAAAATAAATGCAGATGTAATAAAAAAAAAAACTTTATAACATATTAAATTAAACAAAAAAAATATATATTAATTAATTATAATATTAAACATAAAATATAAGCTGCTTTTTCAAAACAAATAAAATAGATGTGTTCCTTTTGTAAATAGCAGTATTAAACAGCAGAAATTCTGAAACAGAACTTAAAATTAATATATTCAGTAGGTGAACATAATATTTTTAATACCTTTACTAAGCACAAATTTACACTACAAATTAAATTTCATTTTATAACTAAAAGACATACCAATATAATTATCATCCACATTTTCATCAGAACTGTGTTGTTTTATGTAAATATTGCTAGCACCAGGAGGGATCATTACAACATTATGATAGCCTTTAAGAATAAAATCCACATAATTAGCTACATAAAAGTAAGTAATCAAACAGGAAAAAAGAAACGGATTCCATATGTGCATTTATCAAATTGAGAAATTTGATACTCAAAATATCAACCACAGAAATATTTCATGTTTTACGAGCTGTTTTTAATTTTATCATATACAATAAATAAATAAATAAATAACAGTTTTAACATATTTTTCTGTGCTTGTGCTTCTCACCTGAAGCATGACTGTTATAATTAAAAGAAAATTTTATTTTAGAAAATTGTAACTCAATAAAAATCTCTTGTTGAAATTCTTGTTGCTACAGTTTTATATACACTTACTGCTCTTGAATTGTATAATCACCATTTAAATTTTTTTAGAATTAATTGAAAATGCTGCACTCAATCATGTATATAAAAATGGTTGGTTGATTAAATTATTACCAATCACGTGGGCATTGCCTGTTTTAAAAGGGATGCCCACCACTTAAATCAGAAGGAAACAGGATTGACTCAATTATAGTACTTTATATTAACTAACTTGCACAAATGACCCATACTAAAAAATATGAAATTTATTTTCTTTCCAAAGGATTATTTATGGAAGTTTATGGAATAAGAACTATACTTAAATGAACAAAAGCAAAATCAAAATTTACTTAAAGATTTTCGTACAGTTGGTTTTAAAATAACGGTACATTTCTGTTAATTTCATGTCAGTCACCAAAATGCGATAGCCTCTTTATATTATGTCAAGAATAGCCATGCAATGTATAATGTGCAAAATGCCAACCATGTAGACGTGGTGATGCTGAATTGTGCAGTTCTGTGACTTTTTAAACCGAAAGTGGATTGTTGCATATATTGGAAGAACATTTACAAATTAGATTGTTGCATATATTGGAAGAACATTTACAAATTAGATTGCATGATAAGCACTGTTATTACAAGTTTTTTTTTTTTTTTTCCATGAAGGTTTATGTATCATTAGTGTTGCTGCTATCTGTTTAGATTTTGTGCCATTTGGCAACCTGTTAACAGATAAGAAACAAAATAACTTATTGTTGGCTCCAAGTTTTCACATTTGAAACTAGTCTCCTACACTTTCCCCCTCCATGTTTTTTAAGTGACTATACTTACCATCTAAAAACCAAAATGACTATGTTATTATATTTAAAATGATGGAAATTAAATTACTTTCTGTTTCTTTAATTAATTCTTTGTTCTTGTATGTTAATCTTAAGTTACATTATTTGAGTATTTTGAAGCACATGAGGGCTAAGGGGAAGGATGACTTCATTCAAGAATTTCTAAGGTAAACTGGCTCATATTCAGGTTACACATGGGGAAAATCATAAAAACCAACCATGTAGACAACCTGTTTGCTTGGAATTGAGCCTGGGTTGAACTTATAGTATTCAGTGGTCTTAAGCACCAAGCCAATGGTGGGCTCCATGCTAGTCACAGAAACACTGATATAAAAAGCTTCTCTCCATTACATTTTCCTTGCTACAGAAAGCCAAGAATCTTGTGGGGGAGGTAGAATGGAAGAATATTAATATTCATAAAGTCGAATTTATTGTTGAACGTAGTTATGAAAATCTTCAACTTTCTTACTGCATGTTATACTTTTTTTTTGGCAAAAATATCGATTCTTTTAATTTAAAGCCCTAAGAAAGAAGCTGCTATAAAGAATTAATTAATCAAAAGGATTAAGTTTGATATAAGGTAGAATAACAGCTAGTTTCAGACCACAGATCTCTTCAGCAAACAGAAACTCATGAACTTTCCTTCTGAAAATATACTTTTTGCGAACAAAAAATCATAAGTTTATTTCCAAAAGGTGCAAGAATCATTGTTAGTTTTCCATATTCACTACATATGAAACACATATAAGAAACTATAATATAGGAGACTTTTATATGCAGTTTGTTTGAAGGAATATTTCTGAAATGCAAAACACATTTTGTAATAGTACACTAATTACAAAATCGTACGTTTCAGCACTTGAACGAGATGTAAAACAATTTAATAGTTCTTTTAAATTATTTGTGTTTTATAATTCTAATCAGTCTTAAATATTTACCTCATAATTCTGTACGACTTAAATACATACCTAAAACTAAGAAAAGCAATTAAAAATTTTTAAATAATTTTAAACAGCATGCCAGTGTAAACAGAAATGAAAGCACTAATTCATTAGCTCTGACTTACCATAATCAACCTTTTTATTAAAGTGTCCAGTAATTTCTTTACATGTACTATTATCCCCTCCACACACACCGCAACGGTCAAGAGTCTTCTTAGAACCAAGGATATGATCACAACCAGCAACCTGGAAAATATAAGTCTTAGTATAATTTCAGTTTAAGAATGTTATAATTAAAATACAAAGGTAAGAAATGTTGAACAAAAATTTTTACTTGCTAATGGCAATTTAGCAGAGCTTTCTTTCAATAAGAGATACTGTTTCTAGAATGAAAAGTCTACTTTTATTTCCCTAATAGAGAACATCTTAAATACTGCATTACAGGACTAATTTTCATGCTGCCATCTTTTTATTTTTATAATATGGGTTTAGGAACAATGCATTTTAGTTTATATTTATTTAACATTTTAATTTATATACATTTCATTCATTATTTAAACTGCTAACACAACTGTTTTGAATAGCACATTTTCCAGACTTTTCACTTCCTGGCATCCTAATACTGTATCTTTTTCTTGTTTCTGCAAAGCAAATTTCTTTGATATTGTTCTCCACCTAGATAATTGTTTATCAAAATTAAGCTTTGGATATCCTAAAGCAATTTTTGATTTTAAAAACTTTATGTGCATTAACCTATGGACACTGTAATACATTATCTACATAACAGAAGCCTTAATTGAAAAAAAAAAAAAATTACATTAAATTTTAGAATTTTCATGGGAAAGTTCTAGGATTCATTGGAATGAGTGAAACGAATTTCTTAACACACCTCACACTTCTAATCCATCAATACTACTGCTAGGCTCAAATCTCTATAAAATTTTTAAAAGATCTAAGAAATAATTAAAATTTTATCTTTGATATATTTAACACTTATAACATAGCAAAAAATTGAAATGCTTGCTAATACATGCTACAGTACAGTCTTTAATCCGGACTCGTCGATACTTCGGAGATTCTGGATTAGTGTTTTTTCTAGATTATAGATCATCAAATTAAATCTGGTAAGACGGCATGCAGAAATTATAAAATTAAAAATATAAAACCATAATTTATGAAATAAAGAGCAGTTATGATCTAAAGGGTATCAAAATTTACAAAAAAAAAAAAAAAAAAAAAAGCTTAACATTTATTTGTTTATTTTATTAAACATTTCTTTCAATTTAAGTTGCTTCGTTTTATGTGCTAATATTTTCTCTTTAATTATATAAACAGACATAATTTCTTGTTCAGTTACAAAGTTCCGCTGTTCAAATCCTGTAATTGCTGTGCCGAGAATACCGACTAACTTGTCAATCGAAATTTTTTTGTTTTCACTAAAACTTTGTTTCACTTTTTTGTCACTTTCTTCATGCTTTTATCCATTTTTTGCAGCAATTCCACTTTTTGTTTGATGGACATCGAAACATGCTTTCGCTTTGTAGATCCTTTGCCAGCTCCAGAATCGGAAACTCTTTTTGACATAATAGAAAGTTCAAGCTTACTTTTTATAAAATTGCTCTAACAGTCTGCAAAAAATAATAAGCCAGATCCAATTAGAAGATTAAGGAACAACGCAATCTGCAAGATTAACTGAAATAGATAATTAGATAATTTTAGCCTAGCTTATACGGTCCATTATACATTAAACATGCATGCGTAAATGTATTATGCACATGCGTAACTGCTACGCATGCACAGAAAGTTTGTAGCTATGAGGTCTGGATTATAGATCATTCCGGATTATGGACGTCCAGATTAAAGACTTTGTACTGTATATAAAAATGGGGTAATATCTAATATTTTTTAAGTATTGCTCTTCAAATTAAGGATTCAGTAAAGGATTCTGATGCTGCAATACTGTGCAATCCACGAAACTGAAATAAACTGAGCCTGCAATATTGCTTCATTTTCTGAATTTTCAATGAATCCTTCAATTTTTTCAATAGAATGTTCAAATACTCAAGCAAAATCCAGTGTCAAACACACAAAGATCAAATATATTGATCACGAAAGTATCTTGATTCAGCCTGATAATATTCACACAAAAGTCTTGCTAAGAAATGACTGCCCTGCAAACCGTTTTGAATGTGATAACATCAATTCTATCTACAAAAGCTATTTATTCTTAGACACTCTCTTGATCTATAACTATTTAAAGCTAACAGAGTGCAAAAATGTAAAATAACGCCTCTAAATAATTTAGTACCAAACTTTGAACCAAGTAGGTGAACATAAGAGAAAAAAAAAAATTTTTTTTAGCTAATTTGAATACAATATTCTTTGTTGGACATCAAATCACTGCTTTCTCATGCTGGAATAATTATGATTATCATGCAGACATATTGTAAAGGAACGTCTAGAAGACACTTTTAATATATTTTTAATTAGTCATAAATGTTGTCAAAGCAGCTGTATACTTTGTTAATATCCACAGTGGTCATTGCACATAATAAATTTGGTAGTAATCCATCAGTGTAAAGATGAGCATTTCTCACTGTCAATAAAAATTCAATTTTTGTCAATTTTCAAAGGTATATGTAATTTTACCAATAGTTACTTTGTCAATTTTCAAAGGTATTTGTAATCCTGATTAATAACTGGTACTGAGACAAATTTAAAAAAATAAACTTAGTACTTATAAATATACTCCTAAGGATTTGGAAATAAAAATTACATACTATAATATTATCATTTTCATATCTTACTTCACAGTTTCCATTTACACATAAACTGAATGATCCTAGGTCACATGGGGTTCCATCAATTACTTTTTCCCGGAGAATAAAGTATGATGCAGATCCAGCAACTCTGCAATACAGCTTGCACTTATCATTAGGAGAAACTGTGGGGAGAAAAATCTACTTATCAAATATGCTTCATTAAATAAATTTTATACTTCTAATATATAGATAAATCAACAAACAAATATTCATAATGCGTTTTAACACTGGGATTGTGATTGCTTCAAGCTAATGAATAGCTCATAGTGATGTAATCTGAACAGGAATCAAGTAGATTTCAGAATTATTTAGTTCATTTTATATGTTGAGTAGCATGGCTAATAAAATACTGCTAAAGAAATATGGTACATTGCACTAAAACTTTCAGAGGTTTATGAAAAATGTAATTCTAATAATGTAAACGGTCTGATTTCAAGTGAAAAATCTAATAATGAAATCTGTCTTTCAGGGCTGGATTAACCATTAAGCAATGAAAGCATTTTCTTGGGGCATTAGGGAAGGGAAGCACTACAGAATTTTCCATTGCCAGTTTTAGCATGGAATGCATAGTGCAGCTAAACCAAAACCAAGAGAGACAGAATGAAGAAAAAATTGGAATAAATGTATGTGGGGGCACCAAAATCTTTTAAATGCTTAGGGCCTCTAAAGGTCTTAATCTGGCCCCGCTGTCCTCCTGATGACTCAAGTAATGATGAAATGAGAACACAAAATGACTCCTCACGAATTCTGTATAACATGAGACAGCATAATCCATAAGCAGCAGGAACAACTTTTTGATTGAAAGTCATGTTGTTTTTTATGTAAATGACAAAAGAGAATCTTAACTTTTTTTCAGTATGGGAGGATGTCAAGCTTTCTGTTAGATGCTAAGTTTTTTGTATAAAATGTCATTTAAATTTCAAGGATAAGTTTTAGTTCTCTAAAAATTAAGGCTGCTCCCATATTCCCCAAAATTTTTGTTCTATTTATGTATTTATGTTTATGTTAATTTTTAGTTCTCTGTTATTTGCTTTTATTTATTGTCTTCAGCTATAAATTAGATGATTTTTTTTATTCCTTCTTCAGACAACCACTTACTTTTAATTTACATTTTTTACTTAGGACTGCACTCATATTTGGCACTGTGCCCTAAATATTCCAACTATTACAAATGCTCACAAATGGCATTTACTGCTTGAAAATTAATGTACAAACAAGTAAAAATATATAATTCAAAATTAAACTTTAAAATGAGGTTCTATGCTTGCATATATCACTCAGATTCTCCTTAACACTCTGAGTCGCACAGGTTTTTGGATGGGTTTAGGAAGAACTCTGTTCAAAAAGCATTTATAAGATAATTTATATACTTATTCATTTTAGTACCTGCTTTTATCAACTTTCATAATTATAAGCCAATACACTTTCTACCAGTAAGTATTTGGACCCCAAGCAAATGCCTATATTTGTGGTGCTGATATACGTCATGCCCTCCACTGTTAAATATCATGTAGAAGATAACATTGGCATTAGTCGCATGCAAGACACCACGAAGTGCAGAGTTATCTGATTTCGAGACAGGTAAAATTGCCAGGTATCACAAAAATGGCCAATCCTTTAGGGGCATAGTTAGCGAGCTGAATTACCAAAATTGACTGTGGCCTATGTGATTCAAAATAGGAAGGTGAGCAGCAATTGCTGGAATGTGTCCTGAGTCAGCAGACTCACAAAATTGGGAGATAAAAACCAACGAGTGTTGTCCAAAGAAATTCGGATGAACCGCATCCAGCTGATGGCCCACATACTCCAGGAGTTCCAGGAGCTATCCAGGAATGTTGTTTCAATGAATATCATCCATAAGAAAGAACATTTGCTTGGTTTCCATCGTCATGCTGCCGCTCATAAGTCTGATCATGAAGTCCAACTGCATTGCTCCATTAATGTGCTGCAAAGCACAGGCCATTTATCAGTAGAAATGAGTTCTTGTGAGAGACTAATCAAAGTTCACCCTCTACCATTCAGATGGCTGGGTCTGGTCTTGCGTCTGCCTGGAGAATAACATCTCCTGCCAGAATAAGTTGTGCCCACAGTAAAGTTCAGCATAGGTGGAATTATGGTCTGGGGGGTGTTTCTTCTGGTATGGATCTTGGTCCAAATTCATGGTAAGCTCAATACTGATGCCTACTGCACTATTTTGGATGAAAGTGTGCTTATTCACATTGTAGCAGTTTTATGGGTTGGACTCATATTACTTTCAGAAGGAGAACACCATTTGTCCTATTGCGAGGTGCACTATGGATTGGTATGGTGACAACGGGGCCTATCATTTGAACTGGCCTGCCCATAGCCCAGACCTAAACCCTATCAAGAACCCCTGGGTTGCGCTGGATTGCTGAATTAAAGGGTGCAATATCCATCCAACATGGGTGAAATAACTTGCATGTCTTCTCCAAGCTGAGTGAAATAAAATACCAATAGCCGTCAAAGAAGGAGTTGTGGAAAGCATACTTCAGAGGTTTGAGGCTGCAATTGTCACTTGTGGAAGCTCTACCAGCTATTAAATACGAATAAATTTTGTTTTTCTTTTCTATCACAGTTGTCCAAAAACTTATTAGTATATAGTGTACACAAGAAATCTCACAACTGGATAAAGATGATCATGTCACTTGGAGCTAATGAGACTATTAGGAGACTAGTATCTGTTTTAACATACAATTTAATTCAATATATTAGTTTTAAAGAAAACAAAGAAAAGCATTGAAATCTTATTCTTGTAAAGTGAATGATTATTATTAATAAGAACCATTTTTGTGTATAAGAAATTTATGAGTAGCAACATCACTTATGACAACACATTTTTGAATTTTGCATTGTTATACAATATAAATTTTATTTAATTCTTTAAGTGTTCTCATGATGACATACAACTATATAAACATTAAACAGTATTATTAGATTGCTGTCATTAAGTATGAAGTAGATTCAGTTCATAACTATTAATATAACTAAATGATATTGCTTGCTTTGCTGAATATTAACAAATATTTTAATGTAACTTTTTTTCTTTTCTTTTTATCTGACAATAAATCCCACTTTAGGGTTGAATGCTAGTGTTTTACAAATTGTCTCAAAAGCTTTTGCATGAAACACAAACCAAGGTCTGGTGGCATTTCAGGAATAGTAATCTATTAATTCCTGACATCTTAAATCTTAGTAACTCTAACCCAGAAAAGAAATTACGGAAGTGGAAAAACAAAGTGAGTGAAAAAAGTGAAGAACAGAAGTGAAAAAATAGAAACAAAAACTTTAAAAGTGAAAAAATATAAAGATTTATTATTGAATATATATATATATATATTAGAAGTATGTATTTTTCTGTATTTGTAGACAAGTGTTATTGATTGACTTAAGAATTTGCCCATACTAGTTGCGCTATTCATTTCATATTACAAATTACATATAAATGGTTGCACTATGCTCAACCAAAAGGATTAGTATAGTCAATTTAAGTAAAGCACAAAAAGGATGCTTGCCTAAGGTTCATTTCAGTTTTGATCAAGAGTTCTTTTATTTATTTTTGCTATGAACAGCCTGTAAAGAGGATTTTTAAATTAAGAGATTTTACATGTTCTCCATTTCACAGACATTACATTCATACCTGCTCAAGTTTTATGAACAAACATTCATACGTGGTCAAGTAAGCACAGGACAAGTGGCATGCGCAGTCAACTGACATCTCATTCATGATAGCTGAACCCGGACTAAATGAGATCAGTTTAATTATGGCAAAGCACTAAATAGGGCTATCTGCATACTGTAAGGAATGACTTTAAGGAGGATTTTCTCAGGAAATTATGCTAAATTTATATCATCCATAAGGAAAATGATGAAACTATGACGAAGCCAGCCGACTGCAAGAATAGACCTTAAGGTGAATTACCACTGTTTTGTGGCTTTAGCCCCGTGACTTATAATGAAAGCTCAGAGAACAAGAGAAAGTCTCTTTGCATTCCAGTTACTACAGGAAAACTAATATTCATAATTCAGTGATTTCACATCCTATGCACAATACAATTAATTTAAAACCTAAAGATATGTGCAATTTTACAGAATTTTGTAAAGATATATTATATAACATTATAATTCACAATGAAACACTGTATAGCTACTATAATAATCATAAGCAAAAATGAATATATTCATGAAAAAAATTTGAAATTAAAATTATGGCTTAAAAATTGCAATTTTTTCCCCAAAAACAATACTCCTCCTCCTCCCCCCCAAAAAAAAACACATGCATTTGAGCTAACATGGTTACAATTAATTTATCCATAAACAACAGCATTTGATTTTTGCAGAACACAATATAATCAGTGAGTTTTAAAATATCATCTTAATTTCAAATTTAAGGAATTTCAGATGAAATTACAGAATTAAAGAAGAAAAATGAAGAAACTGAAGTTCACTGTAATAAGAAATTGGTGTTTAAGATAAATAAATTGATTCTGATAAGTAAAAGTTAATTTAGAAATAGTTATGTTGCTGTGAAAGTGACCTTATACCTTATTTTAAGTACAATAATTTTTTTTTTTTTTTTTAACTAATTAAAAAAAAAAACTCAAATGCATATATCAGAATATATTAAATAAAAGGAAATCATATGTAATATGCATATTATTTTTATAAAAACAGGTCCAAATCATCAGTACTAATCCACAATAGTTAAATCAGAGGGGGCTAAAAACTCACCATGAACTATTAACCCATGAGCACACGCACCGATCCGACGAACACAAGAACAAGCGCCGGGTATGTCATATCCAAATAAAAAGTTTGTAATTAAAAATTTGATGAATAAAATTAATCGGTTTTTAAAAGAAATTAAAATGTAAAACCAAGTTAATACTTCTTTTTAGACAAAATATGAAAGAATAAGGAGAGGTAAAATTATTTACTTACAATTTTTTTAACATTGTTTACAAAATGAGGTCATATGTTCCAAACATATACTTTTGCTACAATTTTCACAAATGAATCTAGTCTTTCTATCTTTTTTCTTGGGGCACTCTGTACACCTCTTGTAAGTAATTTTAGGTTTTTTGGGGGGAGGGTTCATTGTTAACATGTTCATCGGTGGTCAGTGTTTGCCTAGAATCAGGAACTACAGATGCTCATCGTCGTTCATTTTGAACACTTTCTATTAGCTGCATCCCTAAGGCTTTGAGAAAAGTACGCCTGGTACGGTATTCCGTTGGTGGTTCCTTCTTTGATAGTAGAATTATTCTTGCATTAATGGCAGCCACATTTAACACTGAAAAGAAAATCACCATAGGCCATCAACGTGCTACTCTTGCTGTAGAATACGCAGCTGCCATCTCATCTACAACATCGACTGCTCCTTTTGTCATGTAATAGAATGTAATGATTTCAGGCTTTTTAGATTCCCCAGTAGATTCATCGACTTGATCGCTGGAATGCATTGTGGATAATAGGATCACACTCTTATTTTTTTTCGGCACATAAGATACAAGTGTTGCTTCTTTCTGAAAACCGAAAATTGAAGAATATACTTCTCTTTTCTTTGCCAGAAACTCAGGTGGGATTTCTCTCTTATTTTTACGCATTGTACCTACTATCGTAATTTTCTTCTTTAGGAGATTTTGAGATAATTCATATCCCATATACCAATTATCAACTGTTAAATTTCGACCAGAGTTGTATAAGGGCCTTATTAAACGTTTGACAACTTCGCTTGCACCATTTTCAACTTGAAATGGCCAATCTGGTTGTTTACCAGCATAAATTTCCATTCTCCAGGTATAAAATACCCTTGTGTCTACAAGAGCAAATATTTTTATGCATACTTTGCTGGCTTGTTGGGCATATATTGTTTGAAGGAACAACGACCTCTGAATGATTCCAATTTCTCATCAATGGTCACATACTCTCTTACAGTATAAGCCTTTTGGCAATTTGTGACAAAATTTCTAAAAAATTCTCTGATCGGAGCTAATTTATCAATGTCTCTTCTACTGGGATGATCTCTAATGTCATCAAAATGGAGGCATCGTAAAAGAAAGAGGGAATCGGTTTCACTGACATTGTTTCCCGAAATATGTTCCATTCCCCCCGTTCCGTCTGTTGCCCACAAATCTCTTACGTTCACATGGGATGATTTATAAACTTCACATAAATACAGCAATCCAATTAAAGCTTTGATTTCCAACTCATTTGTTGTTTTCACATCCCGTTCACGAGTGAAATTTCCACGTACTGAATCAATATAAATATTTGTATTGTCGACTACATGTTTTAACATATCTTCATCGATAAGCAGTGACCAGGAATCTAAAGGTGTTGAGAAGTCTTTAGAATACTTTGTATTTCCAAGGAGTTTAGTTATAATATTTTTGGCACCAATTCTAATATTAGTCCGGAATTTATTTTTGTTCCATTTTACTCCATTTTTTCCAACATAAAACTCATTGCTACATTCCAAAGTTTCATTTTCTGTTTCAGTATCTGAATCACTACTCTCTATGGATGAATCCTGATTACTATCATATTCTTCGTCATCAACATCTTCACTAAATGAATCCTCATCAGAAGAAACTGTTTCAAGAAGATTTCTCAATCTTTTCATCTCTTCATCGTAAGGAATATATGGCGCCATACAACTCAAGAAAAACCTACACTAAAAGCTTGAAAACAAGAAGTGTGAAGTGACTCGCTGAGAAATGCGAGTACACGCACGGGTATGACATGCCCGAACAATGCTGTTCCTAAAAAACCGTTGCACCTGTCACCTCAGGAATTTCCCCCATTTAAGTATGTGACCTTGAACTCAGCTGCACCAAGTTTCATCCTTTTACGAAAGAATGGGTGAGAAATATACAAAAAGAAAAATGTACATGGGTATGACATACCCGTTGCGTGTGCTCACGGGTTAAATAAAGTATTTCATCAACTGACCTAACAATTAAATAATTTTTCATTTAAAGTTTGCTATTTTATTAGTTTAATGAAGTTTTAATTTATTGTGTTAAAAAGTATATATAACAATATATAGTGTATGTCAACACATTTTATTATACGCTAAAAAGTTATGCATTAAGCGCAGATTTTGGACATATAATATAACAAAAATATTGTGCATTTTAAATACTGATAGTTAGGTTTCAATCCTAAAAAATGTGCTTTTGAACTCATTTTGCTCAGCTTATCTGGTCTAATGATCTCCATAAAATGTTAAATGAAGAACAAAGATTTTGTGTCATAACTACCCAATACTATACCTAATCTGCAAAACAAGATTATTATGGCTCTGGACATCAATATGACAGTGAAATTCTTATGTGTCTTATAGGTATATTACAAAAGCAAATCAGCTAGAGTACTCTATCAAGCAGTATGGGCATAGGTTTCGTATAACCAAACAAATGCACATAGTATTAGGTATTTAATTTTATAAACTTTCAGTACTATCAGAATTTATATTTCTGTAAAACATACTTATCTTACTTAAAGCTATTCCAAAATACTTTATTTTGATATAATCCATGGTTTAGATAAATCAATGTTGCTGATATTCAAAAACAGATAAAAGTACGTCAAACTCAACTGATAAAAACATGTAAAATTAAAGTCAGGCAAAAATAGCAGCTTAACGTTAAAATATGGCGTCCGTTTTACTGACATACGTTATTCATGGCCTGCCAAAATTTTGAATTTTGTTAACAACTACATGTTTTCGAGAATCCGGGTTCACAGGTGAATTCATTCAAACAGCATCCCAGGTTTTTTTATTACATGTTTGCAATCACTCTGTATGAAAAATCTACAAATTATATTTGTCAAAAGCTTTAGAAAGTGGAAACTATAATAATGCTTCTCATTAGGTGTGTTCCTTCTTTGTAAGGAAATCAGCTTTTTCATTACCAGTAATTCTACAATGGAAAGGAACCTAGTCAACAATTACACTGAGCTGAAAGTATCTTGAAATTTCTCTAGATATCTTCAAATATAACTCTGATACATACAAGTAAAACCCCATTCTTAGTAATAGTAATATTAAGTTTTTGCAACATTAAATGAGGTACAAAATGTCCATTAAGATACCTTCAGTGGTGAATTGTGGGAGGTTTGCATGAGCCATTTGTTAAATTTGCAATCAAATTGCAAAACCCATATTCTTTTTGTTTGCTTGTTATTTATTCCCTGAAAAACAAGCCTTGTATGTTGTAATCAGACTTTAAAAAACGTTAAAATTTACATTAAAGCGTGAAATAAAAATTTAATTTCTTTGGCGCTTTCACCGAGATGGATTTAACATGAAAATTGCATAATGAAATTCCTAATACTGCAACAGAAGCTACAGTCATTATGGACACAATTGCTATTAATAAAGGTGAGGCTAAACAGGATTTCACCCTGATCAACAGTATTTCCAGAATATCTTCTTTGACCCAAAATAAATTTCAGATTTAAAGACAATCTTAAATGGGGAAACCTTTAATAGAATATAAACTTAAAAAAAAAAATCTCTGCTTGCTTCTTAAAATCTTCCAAAAGATGAACTGAGGTGAGACAAGAAAATATTTATGCTGCAACTTTGGGCATAAAATGTGCATACAGTCAAAAGTCGTTAATTCGGACACCCGTAATCCGGACCTCAAAGCTTCAAACTTTCTGCGCATGCGTCGCGTTGACGCATGTGCGTAAGGCCTTTACGGCTGAGAATATGCTTGTGCGCAAAATACGTTTATGAGTGCGCGTTTAATGTATTAGGATGATATAAGCTAAGCTAAAATTATTTAATTACCTATTTCAGTTAATGTTGCAGATTGCGTTGTTCCTTAATCTTTGAATTGGATCCGGCTTATTATTTTTTGCAGACTGTTAGAGCAATTTTATAAAAGTAAGCTTGAACTTTCAATTATGTCAAATAGAATTTCTGATATATATTTATTAATATGTAAATGATCTACAAAGCGAAAGTATGTTTCGAAGTTCATTAAACAAAAAGTGGAATTGCTACAAAAAAATGGATAAAGGCATATCCTTTGTTTATCTTTAACGCTGCACAATGAATTGGAAGTTGATCTGTCAGCACTATCCTTATCTTCAGAGCAGATGTTTTTATTTTATTTGGCTTATAATTCCTTATTAAATGTAGTATTTCATCTTGATGTACTCCATCTTTGATATGATTTAAATAAAATTCCTCGTCATTATAATTCGCTTCCGATAGCGAAGAAGTGACAGAGGTTATTGAAAACGAAAAAATTTCAATTGACAAATTAGTCGGTATTCTCGACACAGCAATTATAGGACTTGAACAGCGGAACTTTGTAACTAAACAAGAAATTATGTCTGTTTAAAGAATTAAAGAGAATGTATTATCACATAAAAAACGAAGCAACTTAAACAACTTATATTGAAAGAAATGTTTAATAAAGTAAACAAATAAATATTAAGCTTTTTTTTTTTTTGTAAATTTTGATATCCTTTAGATCATAATTGTTCTTTATTTCATAAATTATGGTTTCAGATTTTTAATTTTATAATTTCTGCATACCATCTTACCAGATTTAAACTGATGATCTATAATCCGGAAAAATCGATAATCCAGAATCGCCGAAGTCCCGACGACTTTTATTATTAAACGGATTAACGACTTTTGACTGTATAATGAAATTTATTTGATATTTTATGTAATTTCTGTGATCTTTTTTATTAAACTTTTTTTTTTTTCATGTACAGTTATTTGCATTTTCTGCTTTTGTGAAAATTAAAATATTTAATTAGAACTTGGTATTTTGTTTTGATAAAATAAAGTGCGAGTGCTTTGTTAATATTTTCATAGCTCACCACTGGATATTTTAATCAAAATTTTATACAGGTTCATAAATTACAATTTAATATATATTGGCAAAAACATCATATGTTGCATAACATGAATATTTTTTATAAATTCTCAACATCTGTCAATTTTAAGGTTTTTAATACTAGATTTTAAAATATTTTTTGCACATAGTGTGATATGCATAAACACAAAATATAACCTGAAGTTAAAATATTTCCGCTGCTTATTTTCTATGTACAAGTAAGTCGTTTTTATTCATTTAACACTTCATTAAAATTTAACCCTTAAATATTTCATTAGAAACCTTAAACCAAGCAAAATAGGCTTGCTGTTTCATATGTTAGATATTGTGAAAACATAACATTAGTGTAAACCATTGTTAGAGAAATAAATGAACGTTAATTATATAACTAAATGCGGTCTTATCCTCAGATACCCACTCATTTGTCAAGCCATTTTTGACTCTTATACAATAATATAATGAACTGAATGATGTTAATTTATTTTATCTGCTACGAGAATAACAATTATAAAAAGTCCTTTTCATACACTACCACCAAAGAATCTCTATCCTCTTTCTCTCCTTAGATATTCTTTGCTACCACTACGAATAATTATTCCAAATAAAAAAAAGAAAGCAGCTGCCAAATCAGTTTTGATATGAAGAAATAACAATGATGGTATGTCATGTAATGATGACGTCCTCCAAAGATTCTACAGCAGAGTAAAGTAGTAAAGTAAGAAACTTTCTATAAAATGGACAAAAGCTTTCAGACTGAGAAAAGTTATCACCATCTGTCATAACTAGTATTCATCACAAGCTGAGTGGGTAAGACTACACAGCACTGGTAGTCTGAGCCCTTATGGATAGGCTAGCTGCATGGGAATTTTTTCGTGTGTCACATACACATTAAATATACACCATGAAAATCTTTCCCTCAAGAA